CATCCCTGACTTAACTGACGTCAATTCGATCGACAAGTGGTCGAGAATGATCTTCCCCACCGTGTTTTCCTTCTTCAACGTCGTCTATTGGCTTTATTATATCAACTAACTGGATTCTCGGCCGTCCGAGAAGCGCCACTTATTTTTATGTCAGTATACTCTTCCGTCTGATTTTGCAATACAAGCAGGACTTATGTTGACAAATTCAAATCAGGACTAATTCTCTTTGACCTTGGGTTCACCTTAATTGCTGGCTGACACTGATACTCTAAAGAGGTTAAGAACAAACGGTGCCTGCTCCAAAATTCAATAGATTTTAGCGCGCTTGAGGGTATTGTTTAGAGTTTGGTTTGCTAGATTAGATTTTTTTAAATGATTTCTTTTAGAGCAAGATGCATCTGTTTTGTTGCCAAGTTATCAAAACAGTTACTGACGCAAATTAGTTATCTTTATACCAACAGAAAAATCTAAGTCTTAAGACGAAAAGTGGACGTTTACAGTTCTTTCCCCTTTTAAACATCTCTAAAAGAGCAGCACTGGATAATTTAATATTTATATACCTTTAGTTGTAGTCTTGTTTTCACAGTCTATTGAGTGAAGAGACGATACGAATAGTTTTAACACAAGGTTGTATTTTCTACTTCTCTACTCACAGATGATAGTTTATTTATCCAAGATAATTTATTATACGCTTTTATGGAACCTCATTTATTTTGATAAAACTTTTACTCTAAATTTTATTCTCACCTCAGCCGGCTTTATATTTCCACTATGCTTGTATTGAGTTTAATTTCGATATCCAGCGTGCCATGGAAATCGAAGGCGTTATTACTAATAACACAAACTCAATTTTCGTTAGTATTCCCATTCATCTTAGCATTTCCATGCGCACTTGAGCTGTAAATCCCACGTGAATGATTGGCATTCAGCAGTAAATCGCAATGCTTATTGGCTGAAAGCAGTCCCAAGCCTTCGATAAGCACCGATAATCCTGCGCTGTGACATGAATGGCAGCAGACAAGGGGAAATAAAGTAAGAACACTCCAAAAAAAAAAACGTGGCATTGGCAAAACATGCTAAATATTTGACATTCCATAAGATTTGAATAGCCGTCACTGGAGAAATATGCCTTTTGTCTATAAAATGATATAGTTACATCTACCAGCATGGGTTAAGCGGATGCTGACCAGCCAAACTTTGACTCTCGTGTGTAGCCTCAACCTGTCCTCACTCCGGCCCAAAAACTGACTCATGGTCAAGCACCCTGCACATCACT